TTTTTTCAGAAAATGGCCCGTCCAAAAACTGGCCTCGAGCCAGTGCTCAGAATCTTGCAAATCCAAAGATCGTATTACTCGTGTTTTCTACGAGCCCTTTTGGTTGTTGGCCGTCAGGGAGATTTTGTATTTGTTTTATGTTTTCAAACTGAACTACCTATGGGTGGAGCTGATCTAGTGCCATAAGACGCATTATCGCAAACATGGTCTGAGGATCGAACACCAAAATGATACGCTCCTAGGCCATCTAAGCATTTCGTACCTCAGGAGCCTGTAAATCGCTGTCAGATATGTATGAAAGGATAAGAGCACACAATAACTTTCATAGGCGGCCAGCTATTATATGGCCGCATAAGCATGTTGACGTTACTACGATTCCGAATGGTCATCGAATGAGGGGACACATCTTGAGAACAGGACTGATTAACTTCAAAGATTAGAGCCAATGAGGAATGCATTGAACTGTTAGATACCAAGTTTGACGTCCAAACCTAAGCAAACATGCAGCAACACAATGGCCGTCATATTTATTTATCAGCACCTCAGTTATGAGCTGCGGGGAATCTGAAGTGCTATTGAAAGTTACCTACTGAGAGTTATAATATTTTGATGCACGATATCTAATATTATTCCAAAATTTATCGAACAGATTGAAACTTTTCGTTTATTCTTTGTCGGAACTGAACTTCCGCTTATCTCCTGAATTCATTTAATGACTCTGCCTCCGCACAGAATAACAATTAATTCATGGTAATCTCCCAATCGTTGCTGCATATGCTTTGTTTGTAACCCTAAGGAATCTGGAAATCGGTGTTTGTTTGTTAAGGAATTGTCTAGCTTTTATATGATCTTAAAAGAAATTGAATAAAAAATTCAAGTCAAAAAACCAAAAATCAATTCGTATTTGGAAATCAACTCAAGCTACCTTATAATTGATATGCATCTTCTAAATGTAAATGTTTACATATAGGACGGAGATGGTGTAGTGGCACGTGGTGCACTATCCCACACTCATGGTCTCGGGTTCGAATACGGGATTGATACCCGCCTAGGCCAACTAAGCTTTCCATTCCTCCGGTGTCGGTCATTTGGTACCAGGCTCGTGTGGGAAGTGAAAGCACTGACTTGCACATTAGCTAGCTAACAAAAGTCATTGTATAGGCCACATACGCGTTGAGAACGCCGCTACGATTCTGAATGGTAGTCGAGTGCGGGGGCGCACTCCAAAAAAAAGGATTTATTAATGCTTCAAGATTACATCCTTTTAGCCTTTATGACTTACATCATTTGATTGTTTTTCTGCCCGGATTCGTCAACAGAATAAACACTAAATCGCCTTCATTCTTTCTAAATGATGCCGATGCCATTTCTGAGCCATGATTGCTTCGATTTTCTTGTAAAACTGTAACAGAGAGGTAAGAAATAATTTCTACATTGAGGTGATCAAATATTCGTAGATTCGTTACGGTAGGCCTGGAATGCTTGATTCCAAATCGCGAAAGCGTGCAACCAATCCATTTTCTCTGTCCATTCCAGTCAATAACATCCATAGATCTTCCAATTGAGTCTATCTCGCCCAATTCGTCAAAATGGCGCCGCAACTTCAGAGATGTTACGTTGTCTATAAGCATGAAATCGAAATAAACAAACCAGCCCGTGTGGCCCTTCTGCTGGATGCATTTGCCTATTCTGCGATTCTGTTCAAGGGTCTTATAATCCCACTCAGACAAAGTACGTGGGGAGTCGCTTCTAAATCCCAGGTGGAAGACACTTCCTTGTTAATATGTGGAAGACCTTGGGCGAATATATGAATCATCTGTTAAAGCACACCATACTGTCACAGCTGCACGGCAGAAGTTCCAAACGGACTGGTTTCCTTACCTCCTTGAAATCCTTAGTGCTTCTTCCAGTATATCGGCTAGCTACATCTCGTCCATATCTCCTTGTTCCCATGCATTACAAATTCGCTTGACTGTCCTGACATAACTGCAACCCAAAATATGAAGAATGCAAGCAACTTCAGCAAGACTTAGCAAAAACAAGATGTACTTCTTCATCTCGTGATGGTACGAATTAAGAAACTCATACAGCTCGAGACATGGCACAACAAAACTCAGAACCAAACATCATCTATTATTGAAAGAAAGAGAAAAGAAAGGAGAAATTACCACGTGCACGTTTCCACCTAATAATTATGTAAATTCTACAGAATTTATATTCAGTGAGAAGAAATGAAAAAAATTTAACCATTATCTGAATTGCAAAATGAGTTCCGAAACATATCCAAAAAGATGTAGGATTTAGAGCTGAATTTATTAGATGGTAATATTCACAGCATGGCAAGTTTATGCTGGGAAATAGTACAGTACGTACTGACCCTAATTGAACTTTGCCGTAGTTTGATCAGATATGATGAAATAAGATTCAATCACTGGGAAGATCAGCAACAGAGCCCGATTGTGAGTTACTGTAAGCTTTATTTTTCAATTCTGGGCAATTTGAATTTCTTCCTACATTTATGACATCTTCGAATGTACTCTCAGCTCAGACTTTTCTTCGAGATTATGATAATANAGTACGCACTGATCCTAACTGAACTGAACTAGATTCGGTGGGGATATGTGTGGTGGCAGGCGTGTGTAGTGTTGTTGCCGTAGTTGGATCAGATATGATGAAATAACATTCAATCATTGGGAAGATCAGCAACAGAGCCCGATTGTGAGTTACTGTAAGCTTTATTTTTCAATTCTGGGCAATTTGAATTTCTTCCTACATTTCTATGACATCTTCGAATGTACTCTCAGCTCAGACTTTTCTTCGAGATTATGATAATAATCCATACAAAATAATCACAAACCACATTCGACGTTACTTAGACTGGCCGAAAACCCCTTACATGTCTGCCATACTTTGTTTCTTACAATACGTCAGACTATAAAAGAGTACCGTGGTTTAAATGAAAGCTCAGATGTAGTTGTTTTTCTTACTTTGGTGGAATACCGAGGAAACCATCTCAATCTCTCTCATCTAGTGTTCCAATGACGAATAAGAGGATTGCCCACCTCGGCATTGACGTCGATGGCTACTTTGGGGTAAACTTAGGAGCATTTAGAATGCTGCTTTTAGAATCATATTTATCCTCTTTCTGAAATAGGCATCCACATCAATTTGATTTAATGTGTTTTTGTGAGATCTAAAATCAGAAATCTTAATTTCGCTACATATCTTCATAAATGGAGAGTCGCATGAGTGACTACAATTCCATCTACATAACCTCTGCCAAGCCCTTCATACGAGGTCTTGTTGGGCACAGGCAGAGGGTACATGTAACTCAACTGAAAAGGAGTACCATTTTTGAACACATTTTGAAGTAGGCAGTTTTCAAGAAAACAATCTGAATTATTCTCTCCCATTGAATGCTCGATGGAATGAGGTAGATGGCCTCAAGAGTTCAATCAGGGAAGTTGGTGTAAAAACACCGAAAATGCGGACTCCTCCACCAAATGAGAAACGCTGAAGATGAAGAAGATTGGGGCTAGGAGGTTTACATCAATTGGTTTAGTGAGCAAACGGATCCATTCCTTGCATACAATTATATACCCCACTTCCTTTAAATCGAATGGGGAAGATGAAAGAATGAAGATGAAGAAGAATGCATGAAAACGTCTGGAGATATAGTCATTCTGGGGAAGCTTCAGTATTCGCGCCTTTTAAACAACTTGAGCTTGAACTTCTTGTCTACCTACTTCGCTTAGGTATCCATCAGAGTATTCAGGCTCTGAGCAACTTTTCTGGGTTCAGTTAAACAAATTATAGAACATGAGACGTTGTCCAAAATTTGTTCAAATCCAGGCTACTGTGAAGTGATGGAAAAACGCAATTTGCCTTGAAAGCGTATCTTTCATCGTAATCCTTTCGACACCAAAGGTGCCCGAATAATCCTTCCTAATCAGTAGATGCACCACAGCTCACGGCTTTGGCTTTTCTTGAGAGTAGCTGTTGGCTTAAGCACATGGGCTGACTTCTATACGAACCGCCCCTCCTGTTTGAAGAGAGCTCCCATTCCGGCAGGCACGATGCCAGTGCTCCCTCGACTCCTTATACATCTTATCCCACTTAGTTGCCAGAGGATTAGTTTCTTTCCTCGATTTATCAGGTTGCATTCATCTTTCCTCTTCTTTCATTCTCCCATTGTAGCACTAGCATAGGTGTATTTCCCCATATGAGAACATATTTGATGGAATGCAACGGCGAGTGTCTGGGCACAAACACCCACATATAGAGTACCTTCACTGAAAACTCGAGCCTAAAATAAGTAGGAAAAAGTTGGCTAAGCAAAAAAATTGCACAAGAAGCTGTCGAGCAGCTCATTAGTGAGTAACAGCTCAAAAGACTAAGAAGGAGAACGCCCTGCAATTCTTCTGCTTGAACTCACTTCACAAGCCTTCTCTGAAACACGTTCCTTGTCATGAATACCCTGAGTTGTCCTTTGTGCCATATTTTCATAACGCCTGCATCCGGTAAATGCATATTCAAAAATTATCTGTCCAGCCCCAGCCTCTGAATGGAAATTTCATCTCAGTTTCTCTTCATTGGTGACATGAGCGACTAAATATATTCGGAAGTTAAGCACGGCTTACTNCTAGCAAAAAAAAGCCTTTCCAGATTCAGTAGGCGTTAGAAGGTGTTTCAGTAGGTTTAACGTTACTCCCTTTACCACGATCTTGGATTATCTCGTAAGTAATCTGCTATCCGCTATCATAACTACTTTCACCTGAGCAGTCTAATCTTGATTCCGGTTATTGCCTTTGAAAAATGACGTGAATGCTCTCAGAATAGTATACTTGCATACCAGGAATTTATTTATTCCAGATGCGTTCTATGATTCTGCTTCTCCTTTTCGTTCTCGTCCTACTTATCGATGCCAAACCACATCTACTCGATAATACCGTTCGGTGAGTTAGTACATTAGAAATTATAAGGCAAGAACAATATATGAAATAAAAAACGCTTTTGAAGCCATCCAGAATCATGGTAAATTCAGAAAAGTCCTTTTCGAAATGACGCCGTTCATTTGACTTCTATACGAAATTGTAAAGGTTGACTTACCCAGTAGTGCCTTTATAATTGCGTATACTTAACTAAGTGGCAAAAGGTCATGAAAGGTGAGATCGTATTCACCTTCTGTTAGCTACGAATTTCTGAGCAATATAAGCGAGGCCAACCCTTACCTGGCTTTCATACCAAAATGACCCGTCCTTTATTTTTCGTTGATGATTCTCTAATATCATTCACTTGCAGCGTCATTCGAGTGAAACGTTGGGAATGGTACCGTCCAAGATGGAGTGGCACTATGGGATACCGCCCTCTACATTTGCGACCTATTCGAGAACGATCGTGGCAGGACTATCGTATCCAACTGTACGGCTAAGAGGCGATTTAGCAATAACCAAGTCTTTTTCTGTCAGGATCTACTACAACGTGTATGCTCTGGGAGCTGTCATTGAATCGCCTTTTTCGTGTATTTTGACGTAATTTAGATCGTAGACATTGTCATGTAAATACGATTGTTGGATTGGCTGTATCCTTTGTTGAGGACTTCTTATTGATAAATGGTTCACGTTTTCGAAATGGCTCGAATTTTTGGCGAGGCGTTTAAGCACAGACAGCTCTCACGACACAGCTAACAAGAAGCACACTGGGAGTTGATTACAAATGATGACACAGAGCACTCTCGATAACCCCATTCAAATTTATGATGTCCTTGACGTCTATGAATATGGATGTGGCCTCCCGTCAAACTTGTGTCTGCTAAACTTTCTCTGACTCTGACGTTTTCCTGGAAGAAAGTGCATTGGCAAAAAAAAATGTTTGCACTAAGAGATCTGACAGCACAACCATCATTGACATCATGTGTGATCGAAGAGCGACGATCTCTGAATTCTGATGGAATGGCGAGAGAATCAGAAGGAAAAAGCCCGGATTTCCTAAAATCTGTCTCCCCTGAGCCTCCCGATTTCAGGATTATGTGAGCATATAGTGTACAATAAGTCTTTTCACGAGCTCTTCTCAGCTGCTTAACAAGTTAGTAATTGTGTGGTGCAGTAGGTACATTACTCCTTCAATTGCGACGCAATACATCCAGCGATGCCACCCTTACCAAGCAAACACCGATGTTCATTCTTGATGGCATTGAGCGTTCTCAATAGACTTCAAACCTCTGGTACGCTTCACATCATCGTCTAGTAAGCAAACGTTCCGTTGAATGGCCACGAGAATATTGGTTGCGGAGACCGTATAGGAAACGAAAGATTCAAACATTATTATCCCTGTGTCATGGGAGACGGGCATTAGGAACAGTTCTGTGAGATCGATTCGTCGCACGCGGCTGTCGCGGACAATTCGTTCGCATTTATTACAGCTCCAGCGTTTGTTCCGTTTACCATCCAGTTGCTGGAGCAAGCGTCAATACCGGATTCCACTCGTAACTGTCGCTTGCCGATGTGGTCCAATGAATCACCCGGCCCCCTAGTTCTTCCATAACTTGAAGTTGTGGCAGTGTCACTTTGGATTTTTGGTTTCGCGTTACTTTGTGCCTTAACTTCCACGCCAGGATATTCTGAAGCAAAAATGAGAGCTGAAATGACCGCATAATCGAAAAAGTGGTCCTGTCAACACATACACTTTTTTGCTTTTCGCAACTGATCAGGCTCCTAGGTGTTCCCCGTGCCGCCAATTTTCCCTCCTCTGCCCGTAGTTAACGGCCTAGCTCACGATAGATGTGGTTTCTACGATTTCCTTTTAGGCTTGCCCAGTGGCCCATAAGGGTAACACGAAGGGCGCTGTCGGAACGAAAAGTTCAATAGAGAGGGCGTAACATGAGCCCAATTACAGATTTGTCAACGTACACGCCCATCGCCCGTTGATATGTCAGACGAGTGTCGTGGCGATACAGGTCGGTGCCAAGGTCCATGTCTTCAACATGCAATCAGCTAATCGCCGAGGGATGGGGGGATGTGCACTGCTAATCTACTATTCCTTTTGCTGCTGCGGTCATTTTTCTAGTATTCTGCTTTAAGAGGATGAAGCAGGTGACTTATTTTTGCTGTTAATCGTGTTTTTGATAAGTTATGTGAGCGGTATTGAATGTATTGTATGATTGGATTAATGAATGAATTTTAAAAGACATCACCGTACTGTAGTCAGCTGTACGTTACATCGCACATCATGGGGCTCGTCCGAACACCCCCTTCTACATCGCTTTTTTGCTCTTATTCTCGTCCAGCTACGTGTTTAACGACTTTGTTGGAACTTTTTTTTCGGAGGTACCCTTTCTCGTGCAGTCTTCGCTCCGCCCTTTGCCCCGCCACTGATCTCCACCTTCTCTTTCACTTTTCGCCATTATCTGGATTCCCACAATTATCGTGAATTGTGCCTTTAAGCCAATCATCAAGTTTCCGGCCCAATTACACAAAGCAGGAGCATTGCAAGCATTGAGATGTTCCTGAGAAAAGGGACACTGGAATCGCTATTGCTGGTCAGGCACTATCGCATTGCGCGCTACACGACTACTAGTCGACGTTACTTCGTAGAGTGTGGGAGAATTTGAGGAGAGGCATATCCATACGGCACGGAACGGTAAGTCGGCTTTAGAGCAGTAGACATAGCTTTCAGAAACATTAAAGTGGAAGCCGTAGATAATCTTCCCAAATGCCCTTCTGGATGTAGTGACTATCCCGGAGAGCATTCAAGAAGATTATCCGCGGTTTCCATTTTGGTCCGAGATTATCTACGGTTAGGACGTCGAAGGCAAGCCATCTCGGATTTTCAGGTTGTAGAGCTAAGAGTTTGATCATATGGGTAATCATATTCGTAGCTTGATGGTACTTAGGCAACGAAAACTTCGAGTTTTGTTGAACCACGTCTACTCAATCGCAACCGTCCGATTCAGGTTGTAAAGCCCTTGTACGAATCGATGTTCGTGGCTAGGCGTGGGCTGTAGTGCCTATGTATCGACAAGAACACCATCACGATTCTGCTTTCGTATGTTGAAAAGAACTGCTTTCCCAGTCCCTAGAGCAGCGTTGAGCTGTCAATGCCTTCTCGTGTCGGCCACTTCGATGACGCCGTACTTCGATTTTCGAAGCACCTTTCGGTGCATGCCTTCGTATATTGCAAATTCAGATAATCATCTTAGTCTTTCTCCTCTAAGGTAGCCTTCACCGTGAAGTTTGGAGGGGTTGGCTCCGGGCAGCATTCTGGGCCATCCGAAAAGGTTCAAAGGCTCATTTATGAGGGCGACCTGCGCGACAGAAACATAGGATCCATCCAGTGAAACTGCTTGCTCCCTGTGCAAGTCTCTGAGGCCTCTGCTCTTCAATCTATCTCTTATCACGTACCTGTGATCGCGCCATGTAGCATCGCCAGCAATCGGGACAGAGATCCTTCGATGACTAGAAAATTCTGTGAAAGATAGAAAACGGCAAAGTGAAGTGAATTCAGAATGTCATCCATTTAAAATGAAACTAATTCACATTTGAAAGTTGAATAAGTCTATGCGTAAGATTATGGTTGCTTTTGATGCGCGGCCACTTTTGCGTTTGACGGATCGCCTTCAACCCAACTACATAAACTACACTAACTACATAAAGCAAGACGGATTAATCGTTTCTCCCCCTTACACAGCTGTCTTACGGGAGAACACCTAACTTCTACCTAAATGAGGATAGGTCAGTAGTTTTGAAGATCTTCTCGGGAGTCATTTTGAAAACACTGGCTCCGATCAGCGCTTTAGTAAAACTTGTTGGTGTGCAGCATACCTAAACCATGTGTTTTCGCCCTTCATTGAATCTAGTAACAATGTAAATATGTAAAGTATATAAGCACCACTTATGGAATGAGGTTCAAATATTATTGTGTGTTTTGTCTATGTAAATAAAGGACTACTGTGGATCGGCGACTGTTTCTCCGCAACACCATGATGAACCAGTAAACCTGCACAATTTCATGAAAAGTCCAGCACATTTCAACCCAATAGTACGTATCAAGTGTCCTTGTGATAATCAAAGATCGGAAAGTTTCAGCGTCTTCGATGTGATTGCCAGAGTAAGTAAGTTATTGGAAATGAGTCTGCTCTGAAAGCTGCAGCATTCTACAATTTGCTTTGCTCTCTGCTCTACAGAAATGGCGGCCTCAGAGGAAAGACATAGTTAGACAAAATGACTCACCCTGGCAAACGTTCACCTCAATTTTCGGAACGTAGATGCTTTCACTGTTGCAAGAACCGTTTTTGGTTACTTATTACTCGCCCCAATATACATGAAGTTCAAGTGAGAAGGTATGGCATTTTTGGTCAGTCACGCCAAGGATTTCGCAACCGAGTATATCATTCATTTATTCGTTATTCATTTGTTCATTCATACGTAGGAGCAACATTCCCTAACCAAAGAAGAACGGCAAGAAAAACAGCACAAGTCAGCTAAAATAGAAAAATCCAAAAAGGGTCAAAAGGAAATTGGAAACAGAAGAAGCATAAAAAGCGCACGCAGAAGTAAGCATTGAACACCGGTGGATGAACAAAAAACAGCAACACCATAATCCGCGTAAAAACATAACCTACGCTCCGTGAAGAAGAAAAAAAACTCGTTGGTTGTCTATGGGGGCAGTACGAAAGAGAGTAAGGGTCATAACTTTACCAACAATATGGTCAATCTGAGGCGAAAATCTTAAGCTGGATTATGAGAGCACCCTATGATATTTCATACTTTCCCTTGTCCTCAGTAAAACACCACTAACATCATATTTCCTTGTGGTTCTCTCACCAAGGTGCAACCCACATTGGTAAGGAGACCACAACGCTTATTTATACAGACTGCTAGGTTTAGGTTCAAATTTAGGTCAAGGTTTATTACGCGCCAAGGTCCAAGTGGAAAAAATATGTCTATAAAACACGAAAAAATCAAACATAATTCTCATGCAAACAAAAATCATTTAAGTTGCGCGGAACAGTAACGAGTGATGCTTCAGTTCAGGAGTCAGTGTCAGAAAACGCTAGTTCTCTGTATAGTACCTTAGCAGCATTTGAACCACCTGATGGCTGAATTGAGCCAATGATATGTTCAGTGGTGTCGCTTTTTGAAGCTTTAGCGAAAAGGTTTTTGTTCTTTGAGCCCCTATAACTGTTCTTTTTTGATAGTTTGTCGTAGAGGAAACCACTGACAATGAGTAGAATTAGCAGTTCACGATATTCTGAACCTTCTCCAGTGCACATATATACTTTTCTTCCGAGGGATCGAAAACCGTCGAACTAGATTCTACCAGGATTCTACTATTCTACACGTATGATTCGTAAGCACAGAGCCTTGCTTATTTATTACCTGATAGTTATTACCTTATTTATTTATTACATTATAGATAGCCCACTGAAGATTT